CCTTGCTCCCCATTTCTGCGTGTCATAAGAGAATGATCTCTCATCTGTGTCTGTATTTTTAACTCTCATGCCTGTTGGTAAATGGTCTCTGTTCTCTAGACTATCAGGATTACATCGACATATTTAACTTGGATTTGTACTATTTAATGATAGTAAACAGAATAAATAGTTAAACTTGCTCATTGTTTGTCACAAATGCTGATTAGGAATTTATACTTAGTCCTTTATATGGTGAATTTTAATGCACATTATGTAACAGTCTTCCTGCTGCAAGGGCCTGAACATTTACTCTGTAAATATTTATTGAATGTCTCACCTATATCAACACTGTATTAGACACAGTGGTGGTTTTCTCACATGCACCATAGTATCTGTCATCTGGGATTACCAATATGTCTGGTATTCCAGACTGTGACAGCTTTCCAATGAAGAAAGTACAAAGGCAGCCTTCCAGTTGCACTGGCTTATAATGGTGCTGCTCCAGAGTAGAAGCTTGCTACGAAATCATGTTCTCCTTTATTCCATCCAGGAGGTAATGGAGGCTAGCACTCCATAGCCAGTTCCCTTTTAGACATGTCCTGCTAATGTCTGCTGAGGAGGTAGAAACCTAGAAAGGTGAAGATATAGTGTGCCAGGTTCTTGGGGACATCTCACAGTTTTGTGGAGGCCAGGGAGTTTGCTGCATAAAGTGAGCACACTCTTAGGCTGTTCAGTTTACATGAGTCCTTGGTTGTCAAGCTCTACTAGACAAGACTCTGAAGAATGTATTCACAGCCTTTGACTTGGAAAACACTGGGGTTGAAAGGTACCTTCTGTCTGCAGGCAAGGGTGTGTGTGATGTACACTCTCACTTTCTCTGATAAATTAAAATCTTAGCAGTTAAGACACTTGATTCCTAATTGAAATATTAGTGGTTGACCCAGAGATCCCTTGGAAGAAAGGTCTGGTGGTCTGCTTCCCAAAAAGACCCAGATTCATTCTATGAAGCAAACATATCTTTGATACCAAAGCCAGGAAAAGACACCACCAAAAGAGAAAACTATAGGCCAATATCTCTCATGAATATTGATGCAAAAATCCTAAATAAAATACTGGCAAATAGAATCCAACGATACATAAAAAAAATAATCCAC